TGGTGCCGGTCTCTATCGGGAACATCGGACAAAACATTTGGAGTGATCACCCGGATTACCTGAGTATGACTAAAAATGCGTATTTTTCTTCTTTCTTTCATATGTCTTTACTATCAAGTTTTCTGCACAAATATAAAGAGGCTATGGTTGCTCGGTGTTCAAAACTTGCATTGCCGTCAATTACCATGATGATATCACTCCCAATCACATCCCTATACAATCGCTTTCTACAGGTTAGTGATTCTGCCAAAGTCTGCATTCTGGACAGGTTATCGACGAACAAAAGGTGCTGCGAGTATCCCAGTTATAAAAATTACCGGATGTAGTTAAGGTTGACTGGAATAGCAATGTGGTGCTTCCTTCACAATCCCCTGGAACGTTGAAACGCAACCTATTTGAATACCATAAATGCTTTAGAACAGCTGACATTAGTAATATGAAAATTCTCACGACGTTTGGCTAAAACAGCATCAATTTCCACTCGTTTTTGGGACGATCATGCGTGCTAAACCTGTGGGCTTTACTCTTAGGTCACGTGATACACGTCAGCCTAATATATATTCAATGTGTGAAGAGGATATCATCTGAACCATTATTATAAGTCCGTATTCACATAAATTTAATGTCCAGAGACGAGAACACACGGAGTAAGAGATCAGGAAAATATGGTTGCTGCATCCAAGATTATGTGGAACAACCAATTGGTGGTTGCCTGAGAAATTTTGAAACTTGTCCACAGCTGCGTTGTTCGTTCCCAAAATAAAGCGTGTGGGTGGACAAAGTACGTGACTGACACTACCTGAGGACATTTGTCTACAAATTTACTCTGCGAAACTTAAACTATGTTGAGTTTCCTTTGCGGAATTTGTCAAAGAGGTTCGGGGGTGAGTGCATCGTTCGAAACATCGTTCTAAATCGAGTAATATTACAAGACTTACTGACTTTCTGTTGCAAGGCCCGACTGCTTCTATGTGAGATATTGTTTTGGTTTCTGGGTCAGACGACTCACTCTAGTTGGCTAGTGGTCCTAGAAGTGTGGATAAAAGTAATCAGGCGTAAAAGCCGACATTCAAGCCATACTTACTCCTTCAGCTGTAGAATCCTTTGGTGACTAACTGCCATTCCACCAAGAAGAAGTTTGAGGGCTTAGATACTGCCAAAATTCTAAAAACTGGACAGAAGCAATTTGGGTTCCGGGGTTAGAGTAGGAACACAGACCTCATGGTCAACAGGCTCGTACCTCAAACAGTGGGCTGTCTCAAACCCAAACGTGTAGAAACAAACAGTTGATTATTTCAGAAATGAGTCAGCCCAGATATTTGGAAACCGTTTTGTTCAAAGTGCACACGGATTACATCAAGTTTGCTTGTTGTATGAAGCAACTTGGGGCAAATGGTGCCTTAGATTTTAGTCCAACACCATTTTTGGTGACAGACGTATAGTTGAATAACAGCACCGTTAAAAACCATCGGACTCCATGAAGCTCACGGATACCTCCGGTTGGAAATCGCTACAGCTTGGTGACATTCACCTTTGTATTCGTCGGCATTTCTACAGTCAAATACAAAACCTATCCGGAGGCACAGCCCTTTGGAAAATTGACACCGTTTAATTGTTTGTCGATGAGAACCAGTGGAAACCATCCTACATGATGAAGGAAACGGAGACTGGTCTATCATTCGTAGAAGGTAAACAATGAAATCAGAATACTCCAGTTTTCAGATTAATTCGACCTCAAATAGTGCATAAACAAAACAGACAGCCGTTCAGTACTGAATGAACAAAAAGTAAATTCTAAGGCTACTGTTATGCAAATGGGCATTCAGGCCAGCGTGAATACTGAAATAATTTTGCAAATAATTCATGAACCACTACTTCAACTCAGTGGGACTAGATGCCCACCGGACACGTTGCATAAACTATTTTAGGAGCAGATCCGTTATATCCCAGAGCTAGAAAACATATTTGTTGCCGAGGCGAACTGCACTAACGAACATAGATTCCCACCAAGGATGGTTAGAACGTAACTTTTTGATTACGGTTCGGCTTGTTGGCATAAATATAGGGGGGCGCTGCTCTCAGTGAAGGAGAACTCTAAAATATGACTTGGGATTTTAATCTGATCACCATTTGAGGGCGGCTATTCACCTGCCGGAAACAAAAGTATCAAAGTTTATCCTGCCTCCAACACGTGTGCAGTCGCTGTTGCTGGTGACTTTAGTTCGTTTTAAGACCTATAAATCCGTTTACCGGTATTGCATGGAAGAGGGCAGCCAAAGGGCAACATGATAGCTTACATTAGATTCGTTCGTATCATCCCGTTGCGGCGAACGCTGTTTGTTTTGTAATCTAATTTTAACGTAATTTTCTAGAGGAAGCCATTATCATCCAAGTAGTTCCAGAGTAACAACCACGTTGTTCGATGAGATTTTTCTCTCAAGCTAAGCTGAAGAAAGCGCACTGGCAATATGTTTACAAAATTTTAATGAAAAAGCATTTTAAAGGATGTTATCCTGTACATTTTTGGACGAGCCTCACGTGGGCAGATTGAACAGAGATTTTACTCATATTTGCAGGTCACCACTTGTTCACTGGCGCTCGTTGGACCCTCAAAAATAACATACACTGTTCGTTGTGAATGGAGTTACCTAGATCACTGATGAAGAAAACGCAGAATGTGAGCACTGAGTTTAGAAAATACCCATGAAAGGCAAACTGAGGTAAAATATTCCTATAGATTTTGATTCGGGGTATAGAATTCTGGGCTTTCTATCTAGCCCAATATCAACTGACTTATCCCGTCTGCACTGTAATGTATACCCAAAAGCAGGGGACAACTATTTCCATATGAATGACAACACGTTTCCACCTCAATGAGAAAACCCCATTCTTGAAGTTGAGAAAGTTTGTGACTTGTTAGCATGTATTTGCAATCAGTTGATAGACGGGAACTTTGCAGCCAGCTTGTCTCTAAAACATCATTAGTTTGAGGCTGGGCCATATGCTTCTAAAGATAACTCGTACGGATATCCTGAATGAAGCTACCACCTAAACAACAACGGCGCCGTCATGAGTTATTAAATGCCAGGCTATAGAGATTTTGAGCGCAGATTTTCTGGAGCTTCATATGGATCGTTCTGGAATTTCAGCATGCATGTAGTGACAGCATCGGTGAACGGTGTCGGAAAGAATGCAGAACACTATTTCATATTTCGTTATGATCTGTCGAGGATTCAAGAATAAATGGAGGTATGTATTAGTCAAGAGGGACAGTGCGTCTGATGACGGTGGGGTCAGAATTCAGCAGTGCACGAAGTGTGGGTTGTACAACATTGTGGTTAAAGAAGGGAATAAGATGAAACGCTTAAACAAAGAAGGTGACATGCGTAATTTAGTCAATCCTCTGATGAAAATAATCATCGTTGGATTTTTTGTATTGTGTTCCCTGTGCGCTGTTGCTTGAGAGGTTTGGGTAAAAATGAGCCCCAGTTTCAGTAGTGCCGTCGGCTTGCACTGACGGACAAGTGTTGAGGGTTTTGGGTTTTAAACAGTCGATATGCTTTTTATGTTGAAGTGGACCCACAGTCTCGACACATTTGGCTGTACCCAGACTGAGAGTGATAATCTCTGACCAAATTAGCTGACAGAAGTGCAGATGATAGGAAGATACTTTTAAAAAATCTCAGACAGTATACTGGTGTAGGGGTAATTCTGCGGTCCTAGATCCGCTACTTATGTTGACCTATCGAAAGACAAAAGAAAGTCAGGCCAGGTGGGAAAAGATGGCTTTTCAATACTGCTTTATAATCAGACACAGTCTCTCAAGTTTTAAAACCCGACTTAAGGGTACAATTTTCAGCTCTTTCGGTACATCACCAATAGACGTATGACGGTATAAATATCAAACAATTAAAGTGTGGAGTAAATATGGAGAGATGCATTGTGTTTAGGTGCGCACATTGATCTATCGGAGCCTCAGAGTTCATTGGATCATCATCCAGCACATTGTCACACACACTGAGCCCCCACTACCCCTGCAGGAAGCTTAATCAGGTAGCAGCCTTATTTCCCTCGACCACAAATTCAGTCGTCACGGGATGATGTTGTGGCCTGTGATACTAGATTGCGCCACTAACTTGTCCTTCAATGACTCAGTTCGTTCGACATAATCTGAAGCCATTAGCCACGTCGCCAGGTGGGAGCAAGAATGTGTGGCCCCAACATGTGAGCTTAAGACAGATTCTACTTTTTATTTAAGTTTCTGAAGGTTATACCCTTTCTACAAGCATTCTTCTCAAGTCATAAAGTTGGGAAAGATCCGTTTTGCTCTCAGTAAGTTTTCAAGACGTAGAAAATCTACTATACTTTTGCAACGCCTGAGTTCACCCTCCATATCTGAAGATGTCAGTGGTTTGAATATGGTAGGTGACTGTGTGATTGCACTCTCGCCATAATCTCCTCAATCGAAGTGTCATGAATTAATTGTGGCATGAAGAGTGTGGTTGATCTTTCAGCTACGGAAACTCTATAGTTGTTTACAATGTGTCATCAGCTCAAAAAGAGATGAAGCCAACCAAAAAGGAAAATATGTCACTCTCACGCTGAGGCAAGGCCAAATATGTAGTTCGTAGTACTGATTGGGGTTTGTGGCACATTTCGCTTCTAAAATGTTGGTTGAGAACATCCTCGAATGCCTCGATTAATCATGTTACACAAATCTGACGTGTCTTTATTCAAAAGCTAATTTGATTTTCGAGGGTGCGTGTTGGCTACCAGCACTTTGTTCGTGAAGTCCTTTTTTGTTTCGGATATGCCTAGTTGGATTCGTTCTCCATAAAACAGAGTTCACGTACAGCCGACACAAACTCCTTTTCTAAGCAAACAGCCCAAATGCTCTTCTCGGTGAATGTTACAGTCGTCCAGAACTGCTATTCGTATCATCTACAAATAATATCCAGCATTGTGTGACGCCATTTGTTGGCTGACTTGTAAATGATAAGCTTTTATTCAAGTCACGAATGATAACAGAATTAAATATGTCATAAACAATAGGGATTAGATGGCAAAAGGTGAAAATGTTTTGTGAACTGGTGAATAATATCGAGAGACTACAATCAGATGTCACTGCTCTTCTGGATGCTCGGCCAACCTTGAAAACATTTCATTGGCGGAAGCGAATGATAGAAGAAGTAAAGCACTCAATTCGTAGAAAAGTTTCTGAAAATGCGGTCTTAGTGACAGCACCGAAATGTATTTCCTGAAAGACGTGTAGGGTTTGACGGTTCGGAATCTGTAGGACCAGTTTTATCACTCGGCAGGGCAAAACCATTCTTATCAACCGGTGATTCGGAAGCGGAACTGCTGAGCAATGTCCTAAAATTGAAGACCAGTAGATTGATTACGTAATTTGCAAATTTTTGGGGTGAAAATCGAGGGAAGGCAAAGCTGGTATGAGAAGTCGCGCTGTTTACATGTAGCGAACATAAGACCACTGTTAATGTACTACAAAAACACTAGGCAATTTTGTGTGCACTAATGGATCTTGTCCTCACATACATAAGGCTAGACCACAGAAACTTACTTATTCAAACCTCAAGAACAGAAAATAATGCGAATTCCACTTGATAGTCAACAAGTCCAATGATGTCACCAGGCTGGTATCTAAGATATGCGTTATTTACACAATGATTTTACAAAAGCAGTCAGAGTTATTTAATAAAACCTTTAACTGAGCTTTCCGCTGCTTAGCTAAGAGGTTATTCTACAAAAGAATATTCAAAACTGCAGTATTATTCCTCAGTACCGAATTATGGGAAACGAAATATTGCTTTTGAAAGCATTTATGTATTAGCAATATTATTCGCGGTGCTACTGGCACCCTATTCAATTGTTACCATTTAACGCAAGCATGTCACACTGAGCATAGCCGTGTTTTGAATCAGCTGGAGTTGAATTGCTGGACTTTATGAAACAAACTTTGATGACTCAGCAGAATGCACAGTAATTTTAGCTCCTTCCCGAAATAGGTGACGATATTTGGACGTTAATCGATGACCTTGGACAAGAGAATGTACACCCATCTTGTGTTTTCACTCACATGTTAGCTGTCGGTGCAATCAATTATAACAAACAAAATTCAGCACTGAGTTCACACCGTATTCATTACATAATTCAGTGCAATCTTTCCCAAAGTTGCGCTCAGATTATTAAAACAGGGAGTGCTCTGCTTAGACGTGATGCCAGAGAAAGCGTTCTAAAATGATGTACTCTGCTTTGTTTACCGTCTTTTTTCTCAAGTAAATCAGCATAGCCAGAAATTCCCATCTATTGTTTCTATGCGGAATTTCATAAACTGTATGACATCTAAAGCCTTTTAAAGCAAGTTGTTTTTTGAAACAAAATAGTGAGTCATTCACTTTGTTGCTCTGTCAAAAGAACCCTATCGAAATGCCCCTTATTTTCTTCTGGGGATGAGCACTGACTTGAGGCTTAATGCAAACATTTTACGGAGCCTCCCGTGTTGCAAGACTGGAATAAATCTGAAATAATCTCCAACTTATCGGTATAGTTATGCACCTTGAGAAAGGCCGAAAAGTATTTCATATAGTTGCATAATGGATTAAGGCGGCACTTGGTAAATGGGTTAACCCCGTTTAGACAAGATATAGAGCTGAGGAATTTGCACATTTTATGGAAGTTACAGTATAAGTACGAGTTCGTAAATTAGGAGCAATCTTTTTTCTGTGGCTGAGACTACCCATACGCAAAAAGGGATAGGCTCAGCTGTTACATTGACAACAAGGTTTAAAAAATTTCATGCAAATGGAGGGTGACCCTGATCATTTTTTTTCAGTGCTTTGGCGAACCTGTCAATCCAGCAAATGAGCACAAAATTACTCGGAAATATGGCGAGTAACTTTCAGAGTAGGAAGTGTTTAATAACCCCATCATATTGTTGTGTATCACTTTGTGCGTACAAAGCCCACCGCTAAATACAGAGCCACCGCATCCAACCTGTCAACAAATAAGACTACTGGGCCAACACATTGTGCGAAACGGGCACTGAATGGTTGCAATACCCACTTTGCAATATATAAGATTATCGTAAATCAAACGCCTGAGCGTATCGCAAGTGCGTTATCATATCGGCAAAATGGGAATGAGGGCAGATTGATCACAATGTACCGTATCATATCACTTCCCCTCGTGCACTACAATGATGCCTGAAACATATTTACTTCAAATGTCATGATAGAATAAAACCGTTTGATAGATAATCTGAGTAACTAAGGTGGAAAACTATTCATCACTGTTGAAATAATGCCAAAGTCAAAAACTTACTCCGCAACAGAATGAAACATAGCATCAACATTTTGGCCAGTTTTGGCACTGGTTTCCCAAAAGAGGGCACCGCATTCCTGTTGAATGTGCAAAATTTTACGAACAAGTAAAGCGTAGTCCATAAAACGTACAGAAGCACCGACGTATTATTAAAATATTTGGAAATCAACCTCTTCTACTTGGAGTGGCCTTGTTGCGTGGGTGAGTGCATCGTGCTTCCGAGTTTCCACTGCATACCCGATTCCAAGAACCGTCCAGATCAGGCAGTTTATACGCTAGAATGGACTCCGATATGTGTAGCCCCATTTTCATTTTAATTCCAAACTTTTTCACTCACGGTTAACAAAAAATATAATGCACTTTTTATCAGTTGAATAAACCAACTAATTCATCTTTATTTACGTTGTCCTATAGTAGCGAGTTATCCTCATGTCCAGACGCTCATTATCTGTTCCGTCCGCTGAAACATATAATACGGAAACTGGATTTGGCTATTATTAGATCTCAGCAGCAGCGCACGTATTTGGCCGTGTCGAAAATATTATTTGCGGGGTCAGGTTGTCCTTTGTTCGCTGAAGAGAACTGAATTATCTCATCTGGACGGACAGATGTGTTCACGCATGAGCGATGTAATCGGTATGCCCAGTATCTAGAACGACGATTTAGTAAAGATCCTAGTCGTGACGATCGATTGATCCTTCTGTCTTTCTCGGTGTTGGCCAAATCTGCCACATCGCTCAAGCGTGAACACTTTATTTGTTCAGACACAATTTGGATGTCCGGCGTGTTTTGCTACAGTGCTTTTAGCCCGCATGTTTCGGTTTTGAGAATTTGGGGGTTCTGGGACGCGCTTAGGGTGCACTAACAAGCACCAATAGAATAAAATACCCTCACTTCAGTAGGAATTGTCTCAAATAGTTATACAAGGATATCAGGAAGGCCTGTCAAATGAGAGTGGTGCAAATGCAACATCTAGGCACGAAACAGCTTCACATAACCCACCAGTAAATGAGCACTTGTGATTCAGTGTTTATTAACCATCAAAACTCAATTTCTCTTCCTATGATTAACGTAACCATTTCCTTTTATAAAAATTCCACATGTATATGAAACCAACCAATATAAGCTGATTCAAAAGTTATACCAAGAGGACTGAGCCAAACTGTGCACCGGTTGCGAAAACGTATCGGCGTTTCTACTCAATAAGGAATGAATATTCATTTCACTCAAACATTCCAATGATGATCGATTCGTAAAGTCAAGCAGACATACAGTAACTATACCGCCTCGCAAACGAATGAAATGAGAAGTAACTTGAACTTTTCGAGAATTTTTGGATTTCCTTAACAAGCTCGATGGCGGAATATAGGTAAAGCTCTCTCATAGTAGCTAGTACAATGAGAAAATATATAAAAAGACATGGTTTTTTATTCTTTCATCGACTAAAAATACCAACAGCTTGCATTGTATATTCACAGAGATAAATTTCGCTATAGGACTGGTTTATTCTTTGATAAGGGTACAATAGAATTTGAAAGTCTTCCGTGCTCTCCCCCTCGCTGAATATCTGTCGATGAACACTTAAAAAGGCTGTACGAATTCTACCGTATTTACTTGGGTTAGTAATTCCACCAAGCGAATCTAGTTTAATCAGCATTTAACCGGACACAAGCTTTTTCACCTAGCCTCTACACTTTGTACAGTCTGTCCAACACACGAAAGCTGCCGGTAAAATATACGAACATATTATAGGGAACGGCTTCTGGGAACAATATTTTAAAAATTCGGGAGCAGCATAAGTGAATCCCCTGAACATTGGACAGATTAAAAATAAACGCTTCAGAATTTTGCGTCGCTTGCTTTCAAATATTATAAACAATGGTAGCGTCTGCTCATGTGGCTAGTCGAGTATACTGTTGATCTGCACAATGAAAATGACTACAACGCACCGTTCTTGACTGAATTGTGCACACTGATATAAAATCATAAATTTAAGAAAGCTTGAATTTAAAAGGGTTAAAGTAAGCTCCAACCCCCGAGAATGATTAACTAGTTGGACGCTGGAAAAATACAATGTTACAATAAAATGTGCAATAGAAACGCAGGTTTGTAAAACGCGTCCATCGCCCCTACTCACGTCTCACTAATACAGCTGTTTGCTGTGGCATACTTGTCCTTGTAGATATCATCACATTCAATTTACCTACATTCGCCGTAGGTAAACAGTTGAACGATCAGAGCTATTATCTCTGAAATTCTGGCACTAAAATGCCAGTGCGTTCGGAAGGTATATCAACCACTGTGACAACTAGGAATGAATGCTTGAGCTAGACGACACACCGCCTTGTCGGCTGAAAGGAATTCAGCTGTGAACCCGAACAGCAGAAGACACTTTTTCGAAGTTTGTGTGGATTATCTGGCACAGAACGCCTGACGTGTGTAGGAAAATGTGTCCAATAGCTAAAGATATACAACCCACAAACTTGCACAATCTGAAATAAGTTCTTTGTATTTTAGATGACCCTTATGAATCAGTTTCTCAACCCCCCACCTTAATCCAACTTTCGAATTAATTGCGTTGGAGTAGAATGGAGTATGCACAAATTGGAGGGCAGGAAAACGCTCCTAAGTGACCGCAGACGTTGAGCAAATCTCACTTGTGCTAGTGCATTCTAGTGCCGATAAGTATGTTACTGTATCATGCAAATCCACGTCCCACAGAATGGAGAAACATTGTTTAAATGGACGAATGCAAAGTGACCAAACCGGACACGTATGCCTCCATATGTTGAACCTACCTGAGCCAATCGTACACACAGTGAAAAGGATGTCACTCTTATATTGAATAACACTTTGGGTTTTCAAGAGTGCTTTTGGAAGTTTCGGTTTATGGACTGAAAATTGAATTGAACATGTCATTCGTAGGAGAAAGGGGCTTAGACAAACGCATACTTGCAAACTTAAACAATTCTGAAAGTCCGAGGAACATCCGCGAGTGGTTAAGAAAAGCTATACTGGGTGACACCAAAACTAGTACGCTTATCATAACACAGTGAATATGGTTGTTGACTGATTCGCTGTAACCTGATACACATCTTTTCATGTTACGCCCACTAATAGAAAACTCACTGAAAACCATAGAGACCCATTTCAAGGAGATAGTGTATGCCTCGCGCTTGTCTCACTGTTTATATGGAGTCAAGGTAACGCAGTTTGAAACTAGAAAAATACAGCTTGCGCCAAATCAAAACCGGTGGAAAGATAACGGTCCTGAGCCCCGATTAAGGATGTTATGTTTGTCCGTGGACAATCTGATTTTGGTTAGACTAGTGTGTAGACTGTCCTAAATGCGTCCTAAATGTCATTCTTCCCTGTCAAAAGAATGTCTCGTTTAGTTGCCCTAAAATATTGCTTCCGAGAGTACCTTGTGGCTGTGCGCAGGAGAAGTAGATAGATAATTTCAGTTGAGGTTTCATCACGGCAGTTAAAGCAGTCAGTGCTAAAAAACCAGAAAGTATTGTGTAGTTGATTCATTATTTGCCGGTATGCATTTCGCAAATCATTTGAGGAATTGAAACACGGGCAGAATGTGATGCCATGCTTTTTACTTGACTTGTATTTTACAATATAAGATACGTTTTTCAATAAGACGGGTATTTCAAGCTCTTCTGTCGTAAAAAAAGCGAGTTATGCTTCATGAAAACATATCGAGTTTCTGTTGGAGCCGTGATTACCGCTGTCATATCCTTCAGTAGGTTTTGTTAAACGGTCGTTCTGATTAGTGAGTAATCTAGAAAATATAACTATGTTTGGTTGACCATCCGGCTGCTACGGAGTAATTTGAATTGCAAGCAGTAAACATTTTACATAATTTTCCACAATAAATATCCCGCTTCTAAATCCTCTAAAATCCTACTGGTGAACGTGCTTATTTGTTGCGAACAGCGAGGTGCAGGACGCACATTTGTTGAGGCCTGGTTTGCATATAACCAATCATCCAGTGACGTGCAATGCAATCAGACCAAGATTAAATGCCTCGGTTTTCGCTGTCATCAGGATAAATTGAGATTAAACGATCAAGTAATCAGCCAGCCTTAGACATAGGTGGCTAGGAAAAAGACCAGGCCAACCGGCAAAGTTATAAAATAGATCGACTGTTCAAGAAACCTTATAAGAAAAAGGATTTGTTAGTAGAAATGAAGTGCATTACGCAGTTTTCTCATATTATCTGTCTTAACTACAGAACCTGTATATAGCTAAGTATCGAAAACAAGAAACAAAAAAAGAACAGTACACAAGCTATATAACGGGCTAAATAGTATAGCAGTCGTGACGTAATTAAAGATTTGTTGTTCAGCAATGGTACCTTATTGCTGATAGTAATAGATTAGGAGCATGTGTTCACTCAGTTTCTGGCATGTTTGCCGTGCTAAACTGCAAGCGTTCAATTGCCATTTGAGAAGTTAACGATGAGCTGTTTCGAAGGCGTCTTCGTGCAGCCACATATGTCTAAACAGAATAGTTAGCAACATCCAAAAAACTCTGATGGAACAGACTAACAAATTTCGACTTTTGATACCTTTCTGAGCTCGGCGGCCCAATTTTACCCCATTTGCTTTATATCGTCCCAAAATGGTAATAACTCTTACAAAGCCATTGCCAAACTCGGAGAACAAGTCAAGGACTTGAAAATTCACATTAGTTAGCAGTATTCCACAAAACTGCCGTCCTCGATTATGTACAATGAATTCATTATAACATTAATCTCATCGTGCAATTTAAGGCAGTCCACCACTAAATTCTCATTCGATAAATGTCTTGTGTTGCGCCCACTCAAGTGACGTTGGAGATAACACTAACCATTCCTTCGGTGTTTTCCTGAATCGTGCAGCTAACATCAAATGCGAGGCAACTGCTTTCAGATATACGGTTTGATAATGCGATAAATGAACTACTGTTTACCATGTCTTATCGGTAGTTCTCTGAGATGACTGCAGTCCATAAACTGTTAAAAGTTATGAGAAGTGAGACATTTACTCCTCACGGTCACTCAGTTGGCAACTCCGTCTTAACACAT